TTATCATTCGCTAAGCCGTTTTCTCCTCTCTCAGTTTTGAGGTTAGGTTGACCCAACCCTACCGAATGCGAATTAGAGTAGCGGAATTAGTTTCCAGCACTAATAGTGGTTAGTGTACAGAAACCAAAAATCATGTGTGTCCAAATCACACAATTTGAGTTAGTGTATAGAAACCATTTTTAGTCATCTGACGCTAACTCATTTTTTTCAGTGTATTCCCTCCCGATGAGCGCCCCTCGGAAATGTTTGGTATAAGGAATTTTAATGTCGCAAAGAAGGGCTCCGCGTGCTTCAGATTTCGAGTGCAGCAGATTTTTTTTTATTTTTTTATCGAAAGTGCCTTGTTTAAGAATTTTTTTGGCGGAGAGTTTGGTTTGATACAGCAATTCCATTGGGCGTGGGAAATTTTTGAAAAGAGCATGAAAACAATGTTTCAAACTCTGTCAATCACTGAAAAATTGTCCTGTTTACATTCGGTTTGGACAGGGTGGCTTGTTTTTTTGCGTAGAATTGATTTCTGAAATAAAAAAGTAGGGGTGCCATTTGAAAAGTTCGACTTACGGGTGGGGCACCCCCCGCCCCGCGCCCCTCCCGCGGTTTGGGAAAATGTCGAATACGCCAAAAGGTGTCCCCCTCGATATAAACGAACACGTCTTTTACCGTTTTTCGAAATTCCGACGCGTTCGGCAGATATTCAAGGTGGCTCGTTTTTCGTGAGACACCCTGTATAGAACAATCATCAAATTAACTTTGGGTTTTTTGCAGAATTTCTCAAGTCGGTACAAAATGCACAATGTAGAATTAGTCAAACCAACGTAAACTTTTGGATGTTGTTTCATTAATCCGATAAGGAGACTCCGCAAAGTTTCCATATCGTTGGTTTTTCTAAAAGCTACGATGGAGCTTTCATCACTGTAATTGCTAGCATATTCCGAGGGGGCGTAGGAGGAATCACCATGGACGTCGTCTGAACTCATTTCTGAACTTTGTAGTGTACTGTCTAAATCGTTTTGTGAACCCTTCGTGGGAGACGTGGCAATTTCCTTCCTTTGAATTGGTCGTGTACCCACTTTTACGCTGCGATAGTATGGTTTAGCCTGTAACATACAGAGCAAGATAATTTCATTTGTGTTGCGCATATTATTAATTCCTCTAAATAGTTCCCAGAAGAGCAAATAATTCAAGAAAGGAGAGAGAGGAAAAATAATAATTAGGTAAAAAAAAAAAAAAAAAAAAAACATGTAGAGAGAAAGAGAGAAAAAGCCCTTCCTCCATTCTCACAGTCTTCTTCCCAGTCAGGCCGCAAGTGTGATGGCAGCTAAGTTATTGGAAAATAGTCAAAATCAAATAGTACCTCAAATATAAATTCTTTTATTTGTAATTCACTTTTACTTACTCCACAGCAAGAGCTGGGGTCAGTGTGTAAATGGTAAAATATGTAATTTTTTCCTGAATGAAGTATATCTACAGTACATCTATCTATCTATCTATCTATCTACCACACGAGCGCCGAAGCGATCGTGTTCGCATGATGCAGAACATTCTGCACCCTGCTTTTTCCCGCCTTTGCTCTTGAAAAAATGATTACCCTGCTATGAAGGTTTTTTTTTATTTCTATTTTATTAACCAGTTTCACATTCATAGTATGATACAAGTAGATAATATTTTTAGACCTAATAAATAAATGTGCAGAAATTAGAATTTTAACAAACAGTGGATAGATAATGTAACCAACCTGACAGTAAACATTTGCAGAGGCCTTCGTACTAAAATTAACTTGGCACTCTGCATCTTTTTGTATTGCTTTTCGATAAATAGGCATTGCAGTTCTCTTCAAAATTGGGGTTGGTCGCAACGGAGTTACAAGTTCACTATCTTCACAGCAGTCTATCGAAGGATTCTGAAAAATGTAAAAAAATTGGGCCGTACACAAATAGGAAAAAAATTGCACCAAGCTGAAAAGTTAATATTCAATATAACGAATGAATAAGGCTTCAAAACTCTTCTTTTATAGTTAATGTTGCCAAGCCCCTGTTTAACTGGCATGTATGCCTTGGGAGTGATCAATAGAATTTCTTAAAAATCAGATTTTCAACTCTTGTGAAATAATACAACTTTTGCAGATATCCTAAAATTAACGAGAATTTTTCTAGCGCATTGTATTGACATTTTTTCAAGAAGCGTGCGCGATGCAAGAAATTGCGCTGCTTCAGGGAATCGGTCATATTTCGTATTTGTCTCGTGATTATTACTGTGTTAGCATGATGAGTTTTACTTTTATGTTTTTTGACGATGATTCCTCAGTTCGTTATGTTACACTTGTATTGGTTCACTCATCCATTTTCCACTTATTTCCCCTATCACATGAAGGAAGCTGCTTAAGACTCTGTAAAAAAGATGCAAAGTCTGCATTCTTGAACAAAAGCCTTAAGTTAAAGGAAGCGCGTTAAGAACTGAATCGATGAGATTTTTATACTGGATTCAGAGACTTCCAGAGACGTTTTGATGTTTTTTTATGCATTAAGTTAACAAATAAATCCGAGCAAATGCATTCAAGGCTGCGATCTAAAGTTACCGAACATCATAACAACATTAATTTACTTATAAACGCAGTAAGAGTAAAATCTTTAATAAATGACTGCGTTGTAGGTTTGTAAGGAACGTAAAATACGCCTTCAAATCTGAATGATACGTTCCCACATAGTGCCAGAGTTCGAATAGTTGTATCCCCGTCTGTCTCATTTTTTGTCTTATCCAACTCAATCTTGACGGGACTTCACTTGATTTTAACCTGATTTATTCTCACTAATAATATACCATTCTTAGAAAAGAGCTCTTTCAAGCTGGTGACATTCTCAATTTTTAGGGATATTCGTAGTTTTACAAATTGTACTTTGACTCCAACATGCTTTTTTCTCTACAGTTTGAATGAAAATGTATGTATCATCGTGGTTATTTTAAGCATAAAAAATTTCGCGTATAACGTGGTAGCAAGGAATTTTCTATTATCCAGTTTTTTTGTTTTTTTGTTTTTCGCGGAATCTTAGAGTGGCCATCCTCGAGGAAAGGGACAGTTTTTCATCAAATAAAAATTTGCAGCACAGCTGTTCTTGTCAAGTGGGTCGAAAACTGGATTTATAGATTTTCACGAAAAAATCTCTAGTGTCCCAAGTAACACGCAGTGAGAGGTTTTGTTCCTTATTTTGTCGTAAAAGGCGGAAAGTAGGCTTATAATCTGGGCAGGCAAGATTTTGAAATAGCTTTTCCCTCGAAGCTCCTTCAAACCTTTTGCTTCAAACGGTTATGTTCAGTTATGCTTGAGATCCTTTTGGATTTTTTTGTCCTTAAATCTGATTCAAACATCCGTCTGCTCTCGTATCAATGACTCTATGTTCAGGTCTTGTGGGCTGAGATCGTTCTTCTCCAGAAGAAACATCTAGTTTCGTAGATGCTCTCTTTTACCTCACTTCTCTAGATCGAGCATACTGAGCATCTCTCGAAAACGAGCCACTGTACGCAATGAAGGGGTGTGGGACGCCAAGAGGGTCGATTGTTACAGGCGGGAACGGGAAAATGATATTATTTCATTAGAGCACTGTAGTAAAACATCGTGCAATATCTGTGCGGAGAATACGGTACTGTTAATTAATACAGTTGGTAGTGCACACAAAGAGGATTTGTAGCTTGGCATTGTGACGGGGTATTCGCATGGAACTAAACCGAATAACTCCATGCCCCGAAGTTTAACTAAGTGGAATCCATCGCCATTATTTAGCTCCAATGTAAACCCAATTTTAGCCAGCTCGTCAGGATGGACCGAGTAGCTGCGCAGGGTTGCCCAGACAGAGAGAGAGAAAACTGGGGTAATTTTATTGATCCAGCAACGAAGATGTGCATATACGACTACGTATGTCCCATTATTTTTACGATTGGTTTTACTCTATGTCCATAATTTGACATGCAGAGCTCGATTGTTTTCTACTGCATGACTCTCTATAATACTTACTCTCTGTTGACTTTTCTGCTCTGCTCATCATCGTAATAGACTAATGAGCATAACCCTGTTCACCTAAACTTACAATTTTCTCGCGCTTGCTGATTAAAATTTCAAATGACTCAAAGTGTACTGAAATTATTCCTCAATTCACTGGCATCCACTAAAGTTGCAATCATGCTTTTTCTGTGTATATGAATTTATTGATCCAGCAATGAGGATTTTTTTTTTTTTTTTTTTGTAGTTTTTCCGGGAGAAAAAGTGGCGAATCTTCACGAAGATATGACAATTTAAGCGACTTGCTTCACCGGCTGTGGTAACCCAAAGTCGGGGAGCAATGAGGATTTGTATTTACGACAACGTATGTCACAATGCGTTTACGATTGATTTTTTGCAATGTGTACAATTTTACTGCACTCTGTTGTTTTTCTACCACGGCTCATGGTTTTTTTAACGCTTACATCATCAAAATTCACCAATAAGCATCATCATGCTGACTTAAACTTACAATGTTCACACACTAGCTATTATAAAGTCAATCTTCCCAAAATGTCTGAGTGCCAAGGTGTATTAAGTAATATCGTGGTTCAAAACTTCTAACGAATTTTTTTTTTGACTAAAATTTAACCGCTTTCCTTTATAGTGTACAAAGAACATAGTTTTCCCCTACACTGGAAAAAAAGTCGCTTGGATCTAGAATCCAGACTCTTGAAAACATTGACAAGAAAAAATACTCTTGATTCAATCGGATTTTTGCTAAAATCAAAAGGAAATCTGCTCAAATTAAGAGGCTTGGTTCTTGATTTAAAAAAAAATCCGATTAAATCAAGAGTATTTTTTCTTGTCGATGTTTTTAAGAGTCTGGACTCTAGATCCAAGCGGTTTTTTTCCAGTGTACTTTCAGCGTAAACTCTCTCTAAGTCGTATGTCGATCCTGGTATGTTCATCGATAGATTTTGCTCTCGCTAGGACCTTGCTCTCGCTAGGACCTTGCTAGGAGCTAATGAGCTCTATTTCTTGTGCGTGCTATCTAACGGCCTTATAATGTACTGTATTCAGATTAACTCAAAGGGACTCGCTAAGCGGACTTGAGGGCGCGAAGCACCCTCTGAGGGTTGGGCCGTGTAGCGGCGAGGGGTTGTTGCCTCCTGCTAGTTTAAGTATATGCTTTGAACGGGTGGATATTGTCCTTATTATGTCGTGAATATTCGCGCCTGGAATCACCATAGTGGCACCAGGGTAATTCCAGACGAGGAACTTCGTTCCCGAGCACAAATGATTCCTAACCTTGCGAGAGATGATGCCCAGAAACGGTCATCCGGATACCCCGCCACTATGGGATTTTCCGAAATTGGAGTAATTCCACATTATCGTGCTCTGCAAATTTTGTAAGGGAAAACTTCAGATTTTTATAGAACTATCTATCTCTTGTCCTTTGCTACACTTTTTACTTGGGATACAAATTTGCGAAACTCTTAAACTTTTAGGGAGGCCGAAGCTTAAACAAGCAGAGATATCCAACACAAAGTGTTGATATGGCGCGTCAATAATTCGTACCTTGGATGTTGCACACTTGTCACAATAAAGGAGCCAAAAAATCCTGTCATATCTCTAAGGCACTCAGGTTTGTGATCTAAAACAAATGTGTACACAGTTATTGTAAAAATGAGACGATTTTATTAACATTATATTTATAGACTACATAAAAACTGGACATATATGAGAAAATGATACATTGTTTATTTATAAAAGAATACTGAATGAAAAATTTAAAAGATATAAATTTTAATAAATATTTGTAAAATTTACAAGTTATCAATTTGTTATGAAGTTAAGAATTTGTACTGATAAAAATTGGAGAAGTGTGTCATTAATAATCTATTTCCATTCTAGAGTTGGATGCATTTACATAGACAGCTTCTTGAAATAAGGAAATTTTCGTGTCAAATATTTTGACTCTGCGGCCAATATGCTCTTTCTGAATTATATTAACATTGGCGTTCCATAAAATAAGATTAAGTTTATTATCAGCATAATCTGTAAGTGTTACTGCTCTGCGTTCATATGGTTTCTGATATGTATTTATGCCGGAGGAAGCAGAAAATACTTCAGTAACAGTGCCTTCGACATGAACAATAGTATTTTGGGGAATCAAGTTATTATTAATGTCTTCAAATGCAGCAAAATTGTGAGTGACATCAGGCAAATTGACCTTGTTTTTGCTGACTCGTTCGATTTGTGTTTTCTGGGACGCAATTAATTCATAGGGATGACTTGTTTTATTAAAGAGTGGTGCAGCAGGCTTTACTATTGCCTTCGATATTTGATAACTTTCATTCAATTCTAAAATTGAGGCTAATTTTTCAGCTTGTTCATTGAATCCTGTTAACAGAATGGGCCTGTTGCAAACTTTTGCTAGAGCAGAATGAAGAGTTGTTTCCTATAGATAATGCCTCAAAAATCACGATGAGCGCATCGGCAAAGTCTGAAATGCACTCATAAATTCACAATCTGCGTAAGAAATTTGCGTTATTTTGAGCTTCCCGCTTCAAAAACGATACTACTGCACAGGTGAACATTTTGTTAGATGAGTCCCTCCATCGTCGGCAATATTCATCATGGCCGACGCTTGCGCAGTTCCGCGAGTAATTCGAGGAGAGTTCAAGATCAATTAAGGCGGGCGAGGAAAATATAAACGTAAACACGCCGATTGTTATCTGATTTAATCCTGTTCAGATGTTATCTCGTCCCATCACACGTGTTTTGGCGGACTGGCGTCGGCCATGATGAGTATTGCCGCCAATGGAACGGCTCCTCTAACAAAATGTTCACCTGTACCGTAGTATCGTTTTCGAAGCGGGAAGCTCAAAAAACCGCAAATTTCTTAGGCAGATTGTGAAGTTGTGAGTGCATTTCAGACTTTACCGATGCGCTTATCGTGATTTTGGAGGCATTATCTGTAAGAAACAACTCTTAATTTTGCTCTAGCAAAAGTTTGCAACAGGCCCATTTGGCCAGACATATCTTGAAGGATGGACTTAATTATTAGTCCATTTTTCTGGGGGCTTTTATAGGAAGCAAGACTGGTAAGCGAGACTACTTTACCAATTATAGGCTTTTGATTTTTGTCTGTGTTAATTTGTGTGATCGGCATGTTTACGTCTACTGCAGACTCATCTAATGTTTATGAAACATAATGTACAATATAAAATAAGAAATGAATTTTGAAAATAGTTACATGAAAAAATGAAGATATAGAAATCAATAGGAAAGAAATGTCATTACAGGAATAAAAACCCATGATACTTGCTGATATTTTAACTCTTCAATAATTATAGAGAAACAGAGGAGAGAGCATGTTATTTAAGAATAGTACATACATTTCATGATTTCTTTGAGCCTGTTTCTGTCCATCAGTGATAAGACACGTAATTACTATTCGTATGATATTGAACATGAATGAAACCAAAAAGGAGGTAACCAGGATAGACGATACTGCCATGCCAAGGAAGAATGTTGTATGAACATTAGGGAGTTGCCTAATTTCCTCCAATAAAATGTTTATTTTTGACGATAATTATCAATATTTTTTCTAGAAATTTGCAGACTTTTATGATGATATTGCAAGCAAAAATACTTGAGAAATTGAAAGAAAAATATTTACAAACTGCCTTGAAATTTAGTGATTTGTCGAAGGAGATTTGGCAATGTCTGGAGGTTCATATGGCGTTTTTCCTTAGCACGGCAGAATAGTGGAGAAAATATTTTGAGGGTGGATTATTTTTGGTCAGGCATATTTTCATTGGTTTGGAAAAGGAGGCTTAATCATTGAACACATCCTCTTAATTTGTGTTAAGGTACAAATAATTAAATGATCTAGACAAGCACATCAGCGATGCACAGTTATGCATAACCACAGTTGATTCATATTTTACATTAATCTATTTCTCTTGAAGCAAAAAGAATATTGTATGTTATATTTTAAAAAAGTAATATTTTGACTGTGAAACTGTAAATATGCGTATTTTGGTTTCAGTGTTTCAAAATTTCTGCAAAAATTTCATATTTTAAAAGGAGACAAAACCAACATCATGGCTTGAAGATTTCATAGAATATTCTTCACAGAAAAAAGGAAAATCATTGAAATTTTGAAACCATGATGTTCAGTAGTTTTCCAAGTAGAAAATAAAATGTGCCAGGAATTCTGCAACGCTGCAAATGGAGATATGTATTGCTGCAGTTACACCATCAACTTACAAGTGTATATTGTATTCGCATTTAAATTTTTTCTTACCGTTAAAATGCCAGGTACTCTTCTTATTGTTATCTTGTTCATCAACTTCGGAGATGACATCGTCAATATCAGTATCTTCTGGAAATATGATTATAAAAGAAAAATACAGATTACGACGGCAAATAATGATTATTATAATGTAAATGATAACATAGTAGGCAGATAGGTGAGATGTGATTTTACACTCTCAATATTGCTCAGATGCAATTTAGAAAGTATCTTGACTAAATTTTCATGAATTATTGAATGCAGAATTAATTTTGAAAGGATTGAATGCAGCAGAGTTGCAAAAGTGACATATCTATGTTTAAAATTTGAGGTGGGATAATGGCGGCTCCTCAAGAGCAACGAGGTAGGCGATCTTTTGCACCAACGAACAGAAGACTGATGGCGAAAAATAACCAATCAGAACCTCCCAAAAAAAAGAATTTGCCTAAAAATGGAACTTCGTGGTTCTGCGCAGATTTACCAGTCAGACACGACATCTCGAGGTGGAAAAAAACTCGCTGAAAGCGAATTTTAGGAATCAACACAACTTGACGTAGAGACATGATTGGCTAAAAAATACAACGGTTTTTGATACATCGGAAAATCAACCAAAAATCGGAGACTGGGCGAAACGCTCAAGGTCGCAGAGGTATAGGGAATCCCATAGCGAAAGCAACGGAACGATTGTAATATCATGGGGAACTCCGTTCCCATGACAAAATCATAGTACTCACGTTTAAAGGGTTTTCTGCTTCGTCATGTTGAAGTTTAAGCACCTTGCGCTGCGGAGTATTTTTCTCGCTTTAGAAGTTTTTTCTTTTTCTTGGCGCTACTTTACGAACCATCTGCAAAAAAATTATTTAGCTAAGATAAGCATTTCACAAAAAAAAATTTAATTCTCATCTTCAAAGCATTGGGGAAAAATTAGATATGAAGAAAAACTTATGGCTTGTTGATAGAGGATTGAAAAATACAATGTTAAATGCCATCCATTATATTACCTACATGCTGCCGATAACAAATAATGCAGGAGGAGTTTTATTTGGAAAATCATCAAAGGTTTTGGAAGAATCAATTCATATGTCTTACTTAAGAAAATTATTGAATAGATGAAATTAAAATTAAACGGTCACAATGATTCAATACTATGTGATGGTGCGCTGAGCAACTGTGAGACTGACGAGTTGGCCAGTGAACCAGTGAGCTCTGGGCATCGCTACACAACTGGCTTAACCGCAACAACGCAATTGCTGGAATAGCGGCTGGATGTCTACTTTTTTGTCATACTCATGATGGCATCATGCAATTTCGTACTTTTAAGTCGGCTGAGATTAACAATGCATCTAAAACGATACCTCAACAATGGTATTGATCAAGTCTGGTTGTTTACTGTGGTATAATTGATATACAAACCTAGTACTGACATGTATGTTTCGAATAAGTTTCACTTAACCCCATGATAGAAACTTGTATCAAAATTTCCAAAGTATACAGCATGATCCATCACTTAGATTGAAAATAGCCCCAATATTGATATGTTCAGTAATTAGTGACGTGAACCAAATGGGCTTCCTTCCAAGAAGGGGTTACGGGACTTTGGTCTAATTGTCACATTAAATAAATAAGATGATGAAAAATTTTGATTCTTCATTCAAGGTGATATTGCCCGGTGGATTGAAGGTAATGAGAATCACATGTTCACTTATTGATGCAATAGCACTACTCTGATGCCATAGTGGGCTGAATTCCCTTGTAGACAAAGAGCCATGTATAAGACGAACTGTGGATGATAAATACAGCAGTAAATATAAAATAATCTTACCGTGGATGTTGCTGGATGTGCAGGAAGACAGATGCACACTTGAAACTTTCAATAAAACGATGAAAATCACGCAAAAGAAAAGAACAGGACTCGAAAAACGAAGCTCGGAATCTACTCGCAAAAATGGCGGACAGACATAGCAGTGAAATCGGGAACTAGGCAACGGCGAAGAAGTATAGACAAACTCTAAGAAGATGAGCACACCAACCGATAAAATGGGGTAAATGCGGAGGCAATCAATCATGACGTACATAAGGGATAACCAATGAGAGCAAAGTAATCAGACGGTGCAATTCTTGCTTTACGCAGTACATGACCCGATTATAGCACGCTTTCATATGACACTCATGGTTTCTCGTGACTCCTATTCATCATTTGCTGTTTCAACGGTGGATTGACTCTATACGGTTGGAAATCGGAAAGGAATGCGACGAAGTGGCGAAGTAATACATCACCAATTTTATACTTGGATCCGGGCTGAGGATCCCGGCATCGCTTGGCAACCGTCATTAGCTATTGTTCGTCGAGACGCCGACGCAGTGAGCAGGAGCGTGGGAAAGAGAGGGGTAAGTGGATTCCTGTATGAGCCACGTTTAGCTAATGGTCTATTGAGTCTCGAGGCTCATCACAGATTGCACTTACACAGATTGCACTATCAGAGCACGGGTACCAACTTTTGGAAATTATAACCGAGGTTACAGATCTGTCAAAGCAACGTTTTGAACAAAACGGAGGAGTTAAATTCTCATTTCGAGAGTGCCGACCTGCTCAGCCATCCTCGAATCAATTCGCTTGATTCTGCTTATATATGCATAATTTAAATCAGCGCGTCGCATTCTTAGGCTTTTTTTGAAAAAACCAAGTAACGTAGACTCTTGGTATTCACTGCACATAAACTAATGAGCCCCAGAATGAGAAACAACTTTAAATCATAATTATTGATGGATAAATAAACTTTTTACACGCTTTGGAAAATCTCAGAAGTTCGCGGTAGTCACTTTTCGGTAAGGAACTAAGGGACTCGGTTATTGTATCGAGTAGGGTTCGAAACGATCGCAAAGGCGGTATACTACGTATACGCGCCAAAAAACTATTAATGCGTGCTCATTTTTAGTATTTGCCCCATAGTTTAAATTGTTTACAATAGACCACTAGACAAGGTACGAATTCAAGCAATCTAATACATGTTCCTTGACTAGAATTTCACGTAGAACACGATTCGCGCAACGAAAATTACTGAAACCAACTCTTAACGAAGATAATAACGTTTTTATTTCATACTGGTTACGAAGAATTTGAACTGCCCGCTCACAAGAAACTTAAAGCTCTAGGTGAGTCAAATCGCGCACTACAACGGTTTCAACAAGCTTCTCAATCGAGCAATGTTCATTTCCCACCATGTGTTGTTCAAACTATGAGCAATTTGCTATAACTGAGTCAAAGCGTCAATATCGACGTTGCCAGATTTTTTTATCGCAAAGACTGTCATGATACCGTTTAGCGCGCGATGTGAATCACGTAGAACATTGAGTTTTCATAAGCGAATGGTTTGAATTCACGCATCAAGAATCATTAAATATCTTCGTAAAGAATTGATTTCGGTAATGTTTGTTAGGCGCATCGTGTTTTGCGTGAAATTTTGGTTAAGAAACATAAATCAGAATGCTGAAATTCGTACCTCGTCTAGAGGTCCATTTTGTATTAAAAATCTTTCAAATTCCCCCATCGTTCGACTAGTAAGTCTATTTGTTTTATTTTTTTTTATTTAGAAACTAGACATTAGAAATAAAGGAGGATGCAGCGTTTGATCGTGTGAAACAAGTCAGCGTTCAGAATCGTTATACGATTGCAAGAATGCTGTAAAATTGTTTCGATTCATTTCCAGCAGTTTAACTATCGGGAAGTTATACGAAAGTGCCATAATTTTATAATCATATACGTCGTTCCTCGCGTTCTGAGGCGGTAAAATATGACAATGTGTCACCACTGACCAAATAACTCCATTTCAATTTAAATTAATTTAGAGTTATTTTTTCTGCTTAATGTACAGTTTCATGTCCGCAACACGAGAATCTAAAAGTGAGTAATTACATGATTATTTTTCTGAACAATCTTCAAAGACAAGAAAGGAAGGGAAGAAAACGATGGTGTTTGTGTGCTTTTCTCGGCTTTATTTGTCTGAACAGTTTTCGAAGATAGAAAAGGAAGGGAAGTAAAGGATGGTTTTTGTATGTAGTGTTCTGCTTTGTTTTCCTGGACAATTTTCGAAGATAAAAAGTATGTAGTTTTCTCTTTTGTTTCCTGAACAGTTCGAAGATGAAAAAGAAAGGGGAGAAAAGGATGGGTTTCGTGTGATTTTTTCTGTTGTGGGGTCGTAACTTTTTGCTCAAAGCTTTTTGCTCGCAAGTGCTACACTGGAAGAAAAACACATTGGATCCAGAGTCCAGACTCTTGAAAACATTAACAAGAAAAAGAACTCTTGATTCAATCAGATTTAAGCTTAAATCAAAAGGGAATCCGCTCAAATTAAGAGGCTTGGTTCTTGATTTAAGCTTAAATCTGATTGAATCAAGAGTGTTTTTTCTTGTCGACGTTTTTGAGAGTCTGGACTCTAGATCCAATGTGTTTTTTTTCCAGTGTATGCAAATCTGCCTAATTTTTTTTTTCTTGACGCCCAAAATTTCATTTCTGTCTCGTGCTAACTCCACGGTCTAACGCTTTGCTTCGGTTCACTCCCATGAGTCGGGGCCTGGACCAACATGAGGATGGCACCTTACCCCGGGCGCGCTGCACTACACGAAGGAGCTGCGGGTGAAGACGCGCAAGACCGAGGGACTGGAGATTGGCGGTGTCGTAAGTGGCGGAACAATAACGCGGGCAATAAAACTGCAATCACGTTTACTTTGTATTAGCCCGGCCGCAAGTGGCCCCGTCGAGGGCTTAATTGCAATCGAAGCCACGGAGGCGTTCAACGGAATAATCCACATCGAAAGGAACCAACGCCGCACGACGCGAATAAAGCACAAAAGAGGAGAGATGAGCCATTCCCGCCCCCGGTCCTCCGTTGCCGCCCAGGGTGGAAGCCCGGCTTCGTCCACCCTCGGAATCGGGGCGAACGCGCGAGGTCTCGCGGCCTGGCAACCGCCATCCAGCAGCGCCCTCTTGTCTCCACGGCCCGAAGCTTTTGTGTCAGCTTTCAAGCACAGGGTGGTCCTCAAGCTTGTTCCCGGATCAGACACGAAATATTGTAACGAATCCGCATTGCTATCTGCCCTGTAGAGTAAAGAGTCAACGCTAAGGTTCGCCTAACCCCTAGGACCCACTGAGAGAGGAAGAAAAAGTAAAAACGAATTATGCGATATTTTGTTGATTACTCTATTGTTCATGTTTGTTCAGTTAAAATAATGTGTCTAACTGTCATTTGAGTGCAATTATTACTTTAATCCCGGTTAAATACTCGACTTTATCTAATTTATCTTCCCGCGCAAACTAGTCCAACGACCGCATGAGCCTCGTCCCGTGGAGACGGTAACTGGAAAAAATCCCAGAAGATACATTCCTGTGATTCGAACTTGGGACGTATCCCATGAAAACGTCCCGTGGAGACAATTAAGGCCTAATGATGACAGAATTTGCAGATGTCTGAAAGATGAATTCAGTGTTTAAGTGGAAACTGCTGAGTGAACTGAACACGAGGATACCCCTAGTTCGCGAATTGAACAATTATTGGAGAAGATATGACAAAATGATCCCATCTGCTAAAATACATGTGTTTAAATGGGAAATGCCGCCCTAGGGGTGCATTTCCTCACTTTTAAATCTGTTCTTATACTATTTCTCATATCAGAAAAAATTATAAAAAAATACTTCAGCTCTTCAAGCACTTTTAGATGAAGCAACAAAAAATTTTCAGCAATCGCAATTAATTGCGAGACAATCAAAACACATACATATTGCTCCTCAAACAAAAGATGTAGTCGGTACTGCGAGAGCGGTTCATTTTCGGGACAAGAAATTGCCCTGCGGAAAATTAATGTGCACTCTTATTTTCCTCCTCGTTACGCAGAGGTTGTGATTTGCGAGTGGCTAACGCATTGGATCATCATCGATGCGATCCAGGTTCGATCCTGACGGTGGCGCCTAAAAACAAGGTCGCGAAAATTTTCCACACATATATTTGGTCGATTTGACACAGGGAAAACTAACACACACAAAATTAACCAACAGCTTGTGTTACTTGGTGTTTTACTTCCCACATTAACACAAAATTTCTGTTACTTTTTCTTACTGTGCACTTATTACTCAAGCAATTTGACTGGGCTAAATTTTTAAATAGAATTTAAATAATTCATTGCACATCAGTGGGTAATTTAAATTGGTAATACTATACGACACTAGAAAACTGAGACAAACTATGAAATCACAATTTAATAGCATTTATTACAGAAAACAACATTCAAGATTTCATTCAAGCACCAATCCAGGAATTCACTTGGACTATATCAAATCATCTTAACAGAAAGTTTCCAGAGAGTTGAAAAGCTGCTGGAAAATAAAAATTGTTGAACATAAAATCCATATTTATTGGTAATTCATCGGAAAATTAAATTGATGAATACCTAATTTTAATTTCAGTGATATTCAATGAAAGATGTCGTCTGTATTGTTATTCCTGCTATTTTAATTACGTTTGGGGAACATAAACATAACTACAGGTACTCCATCATGATCAGGTGCTATTAGATGTAATGGATGACAATAATAAGAATCAGCATAATATTCAAATGGACTGAGTTAAGCAGAAAGGAACCAACCACTGCTCTACTCTCTATCGCCAAAAACTTAAAGTTTTTGCTGGAGCAAATTTTGCAGAAATTGAACTTGAAGTTAATCTTTTACATAGAGTCTTATGCAGGAGCCAAACTTTAAGCCTCTTTTTCTGGGTTTGATCCCGATGTGGCTTGGTTCCTTTCTATTTAACTCCATCCAAATGACGGTATCATTGTAAACGGTAGATAAGCAAATTAAATTTTCATCATCCTCGAGACTCGAGCACTGAAATACGATTCAGGGACCGATTCATTGCGGTTTGATCGCGCGAGGTCTTTCAGGAGGCGAGAACGACGAGGCACCCGGTGGGTGATCGCATACGAGGAAATATTAAGTGACATTTACGAATGCAACTTGGAAAAGAGGCACCGTCTCCAAGCGTGGATCCGAGTGAAAAGGAAATTTACGCGCGGAGCACTTTGATTTTGTTTCCGGAAGACGACGGAATATTGTTTTTCTTTTATTTATCTCCGGTTTCCGCCACTCAGCGACGACGCTTTCCACAATCCCTTCCTCCTCCCTGCCCCGCACCCCGCCCCCGCCGAGCGACGCGGTTTCGCCCTCCCGTCAGTGCCAGCGTCCCCGTTTTGCTCCTTCCAGCCGTCGGGCGCCGCTTCTAAATAAACCGAATTTCTCGCTGGCTAGCTCCGTTCATTCGTTTCCTTCTTTTCCTTCAAACGCAGTTTTCACTCGAGACGGAATATTTTCTCCGGGATACGGTTAAACTTCTCAAATGACGATTTTCCAATCCATGTGTACTGAATCCATCCAATTCTGCGTCCAATCTTTCATTTTTGCAAACCCAATCCTTAAAAAGAAGTTTGTATGAAGGTTTAAAAAAAATTTTAATTTAAAGTTTACAAAATAAACTTACAATTTTTTTATATTTATTACTTCAAAGAAAAACTTAGGACCAATTCAAAGACAAACCAGAAAATTAAATGAAAATAAATGAAAAAAAAGGACATGTGAAAGGGAAAGGTGTACATGAAAAATAAGGCGCTGCAAAGCAGCCCCATGAGCCCCTAGTAAATTATAAACAGCGAGTCCTGCTTTATTCATGGATTAGTGGATTAATACTCTATAGTTTATTACTCGTTCAAACCAGTTCGCCTTCAGCATCTCGATAGGCAATGTGAGTGGCTTGGGAGCAGTAATGGTTGCTCGCTGCATTTCGACGTTCAGTTTGCTCTTAGCTGTTGTAGTTTAATACTTCACTCGCTAAGACCAGTTTGCCTTCAACATCTCGATATAGGCAATGTGAGTGGCTTGGGAGCAGTGATAGTTGAAGGCAGAGAAGAACTTTGTAAGATAGAAGAACTAGTTTGGTAGGGTCAACAACAGGGTCTTGAAGAATCGTGTCATGCAGAGTTAGAGCAGAAGAACTAGTTTTGGTAGGTTCAACAACCGGATCTTGAAGAGGTGGATCTTGCGGAAAATTTTGAAGAGAAGAAGAATCAGCAGTCCACTCGTGCAACTACCCGAAAGTTAAGAACATTGAAATCATGTCACATTTGAACTTTTTCGGTAAAAGGGCGTATGAGGCTTGGAATGCTGTTAAGAATGCGCAATATCTTGTAGCGTTTGCGGAAGAATTTCACAGTCGACTTATGACTTCCTTACAATAGTGAGGATGAGAAACTAGAGAACTACATTGCACAATCTTCGTAGCATTGTGAGTCTCATACGCCCTTCTACTGTAAAATATCTCAATTTTTCTCGAATAAAACCAGTCAAATACACCTTTTAAATTGTTTGGGAATATTTGAATACGTGAAGTATTTACAGGCATTTTCAGGAAAACCCGTTAATTATTATCTTCTGAAATGGAAAAAGAATAAATAACTAAAATATGAACAACTGTGTGACGTCACGTCGCAATTGGAGGTGCACATTTCAGACTCTAGCCCTCAATATTTAACCCTTACTCTAGCAAATATAACATGGGAATTGTTTTAAAAAAAAATCTAGCTACAAGCCAAAAATAAATTAAACAGGTAATATTTCAAATACACGGACACGGAGATGAGAAATAATAAAAAACTTGCAAGAAACAAAGCTAACGTTTCGACCGCCAACAAACAGCGGTCTTCTTCAGTGCAAAAGGAACAAGTTGAAACATTTTACAAAATAAATCAAAGAAAATGAATAAAAAAAACTGAAAAACTATTAGCAAACTAAGTAAAATTAAAATACAAATTTATTGCAACTATTTTCCATTAATTTATTTTTGGTTTGTTGCTCGATTTTTTTAAAATCAATTACCATGTTCCATGCGGCTTAGCCAGCCAAATTTGGCAATAAAATGTATTTAGCAAATATATTGGTATTGGTGTGGAAGTCCAAGGCAGCCTCCTCTACATTCTTTCAATGTAGGCTAAAGGTTAACACGCAATGCGCAGACCGGGGGAAGCCGATCATAAGTGATGACGGTGGGATTACCTGCTTTCTAATTTCAACGCCGTCCGCTAATTGCGGAATATTCCCAATTGAGGATGTAGCAAATGTGTATCAGTCCAGTCTTGAGTCTCACTCAGTCTTCATTAGATCGGCGCGAGCATCGCCCCGAATTCGTGCTTCGCTCCACGTCGTCGATTTTCGAATTCACATAATTTCAGCCTTACCGCAAATCACATGATTTTACGCTGTCCCGACCGAAGTTCACCTTAAATATCTGTGTTACATATCGTCTGTTAAATTTGTGTTAAAAATCTTCGATTTTCGGATTATCATATTTTTGGCCTCACCGCAAATCGCATAATTTTAGGCGGTCCCGACTGACGTTTTCTTAAATTATCTGTGTGTCCATGAAGTAAAGTTCACTTGCTGCACGTGGTTAACAACCGTTCGGACGATATCTTTATTTATGTGCCACGCCTCGAAGTTAAGAACAGAACCAACGCTAAATCGAATCTGTTCTCCGTGCGGTTTCTGCAAAGTTCGACAGTTAATTTAATGCTGTTTCTGAACGGTCTATACTATCTGTGAAGCATCGGAAATTTTACGAAAATGTCAGAACTTGCGTGGACTCGGTCACCTCTCGCAGATTACAATTTTGGGTGCCTCATTGTATTTTTGTGACTACGTTTATGGTGGTTTCAGGTAAACATTATATTTCTCTATGGTTTAATATTTGTCGAATGATTTTAAATGTCAGTGTTTCCTATTTTCCTTTTTTATGCGTATTTTATTCGTCCTTCTTATTTATCGTTCGTTTTCTATCGAAGTTTTGCTCTGCAGTGCTTTTTCTTGCGTCGTGTCTCTGAAGAAAACTGTAAATAGCAGCGTAAGTGTAACAGTCCATGGGATTTTACTGTTTTTTGTTTAGTGGCAGAGGATGCGGATTTTTGAAACACGATTTACCAACTACGGTTGATTGAAAGATAATAATTTGTTTTAAAGGAGTTGCATATGTCTCAGGCAATTAGCAATTGCCTGCAATTTGCAAGCAGTTCGTATGTTGTTTCGATACATTGCAATATTGCGCATTGACATACTACAATTTTTGAGGATTATGGTCTTCAAAAGCATCAGCTCGCCTTGGAGCGCCTTCATTTTTTGTGATACACTACGCTTTGTCACGAAGTTGGTTTAGTTGCGTGTCCAAGCTCAACCCAACTAATGTCACGGAGTTCACTGCACGCTCGTCTGAGAGTGCCTATTTCTTCTATGTTTTTTACGGTGGGAAAAATGCTAATTCACATTATAAGCAACACAATTAGCACTCTAATCTTATTATTTTGTTTTTGAATGTTATGTTTTTTTGAATTTATTTACCGCTGGCTTGCATATTGCCGGCGACACGTATACACTTCAATTGAACGATAAGAGAATGTAAAAATAATCTTTTCAGTTACTTATTAAAAGACGAATCTCATTATATCATTTACATTGCAGGAATACAAATTTTTACAGACTTGAGGGTCAATTTTATTAAACGAGGGAAACCGTTTTATATTGTCGAGGATCAGCATAAAAAGAAGGATGAAAACTTGGATATGATCATATTACAAATCTTTTAAAAAAGGAAAAGGCACTTCAAAAAATGAAAATTCATCACAGTAAAATATCACCGAAAATTAACAATAAAATTAAACTTCACAATAGACAAGAAAAAAAAAGGGAGAAAAAACAAAAAAACCCGTTTACTTGACTGACTGCCAAACCCATAAACCAAACTTTCTTAGAATATCATACTTGTGCTCGGACAAGTCAAGGTTTAGTGTCAATGCAAGTGTCTCACACATAGACATTACTCGCGTGTTCACCGGAACAGAGGGTGATTTCATTCTTGCCGCAAAATGCAACTCCTCCGCAGAATACACCAAGAGAGACTCAACTTTCAACTTTTTGGTTCTAGTACAACAGTCTAAGAACTTTTTTTGGGGCGCTCCAACACCAGTTTTTTGGGAACGAGAAGGCTGGGGAAGACAATAGTCAGGAAATGAAATTGCAGTTGATAAAAAAGATTCTTCGTACTTTGCTACCCTTGAACTGCTTCAAAGATATTTTTTCTACGTCTCATCATAACGTAAGCATGTCATCCTGGCAAACTTACTCCAATTTTCATTTGAAATACCTTAATCGTGAATTTTTCTCGTAGCTTTTCCTCAATTGTAGCTGCACGGGTCTTCAAAGGTTAGGTACTAAAGAACTAAATTCATCGGTATGTGGACTATAGCCAAGTGCTAGAAACAATGTAACATGTTTTGGAAAAATTACATTTTATTGATAAAATTTGACCGAAGCTTTTCGAAGCAAGCGCTTCATCGTCAGAGTCACTAAGTATATTAATTACAAAGGCCATACCTTAATTTCAGACAGTGGTAACAATTTATAACAATTAACAGATCCTAACACACTCTCAATGATCAAACCACTTTTAATCTAAGTATGCATAGCGTTGTACTATGCATAGATTAAAAGTGGTTTGATTATTGAGAGTGTTTTGATCTGTTAATTGTTATAAATTGTTACCACCGTCTGAAATCAAGCTATGGTACCACTGTCCGATATTAAGGTATGACCTTTGTAATTAATACTTTGTGACACTGACGATGAAGTGCTTGCTTTGAAAAGCTTCGGTCCAATTTTATCAATAAAATGTAAGTTTTCCAAAAAATGTTACATTATTTTTAGCACTTGGCTACATTCCCTATACCGATATATTTCAGTGCTACTACTTTTTGGACATTGTGTTAGTAATACAATGTTCGCTGAACTTGAGACTTTACCGATATATTTCAGTGCTACTACCTTTTGGACATTGTGTTAGTAATACAATGTTCGCTGAACTTGAGAACTAAATTGCAAAAGTGAAGTACCTTTGGAAAAGCCAACCGCATTTGGCCAAAAAAAGTGCCTTTGTACTGAGTTTCCTTGAAAGTGCATGTCTTCCTTTTCTTATTTAACAAATAGGTTTTTCTACATCGAAACTCGTCAGCGGAGTTGACAGTCAATTCGGAGTGACAAGCTGGGCACCTAGTTTTCGTAACGATATAACGTTATGGTTGATTAAGGAGTGTTTTACTTTTTCGGGATCGAGGCTCAACAAAATTCAGTGTCTCGAGTCGATAATAAACGAATTTCACAAGCCATCGTAAAAAAAATTGCTCAATGTAATTAACACAATTAGAGCTTAATCAGCATTAACATCGTGTAAACAAAATCAATAGACATTATCTTTTTTTTTCTTATAAGAAAAGGTGATTTAAATTGGAAAAGTCGAACTAAATTTTACTTACCTTTAATGTGATCGTTCTCTTCAACTTCGCCTGCTTAAAATAGGTGCCTTATTAACCATACATAAAGAGAAGTATAACTTTTACACCATGAAATTTACCCTCAAAGGATCATTTTACCCCTCCTTTCCTTACGGGGTGAAAGAACCCGCTTCCGCGCCATTCGGCGAACCCTTGATAGGGGTATAGTAAAAATTGTTTATTCATGTATTTATTTATTTTATTTTCGCACATGAAAGTCCCATAATTGGAGCTATGGCACAAGTCAAAGAACAATAGGAATTACAATATACAATAATTAAAAGTAAAAATTATAATTAAAAAATGTTGAATTAAGTGGTGGTTGGTAGAATGTTAGTCATCAGCTGAAGTCAGAAATTCGTTTATATCAGAGAATGCCTCGGCGGGGACGAGTTGTCGAACACATCTTCTATCGGAGATGACGGTCTCGAATTCCTCGGGGATACAGCCTCCGAATACGAAACTCTTGGAGATGCAGCAGGTTCAGATACAGAATTCCTGATGTAAAAATGAAATTAGTTAATATTAGAGAAAGATTCTTATAGGGGATCCTCTTATTTTTTTCCTTTTTTTTTTCCTTTCGGTTAAGAGGAGACTTGGAAGTAAATTGAAGAATTTCCTTACTTCACCATCGCGGAGTTGTCGTTTGATGCTCGAGGGCAGAGCATTTATAATTTTGGACAGCCGAAAATTTGCATTCTTCCTCGGACCTGTATCTGTCTTAAATACAAAGTACTCTGTACTCACGACAGAAGTTCTATTCTCACAATAGAAACATTCTTTCACTACAGCATCTACCTTATTTGCTGAATAATACTGCCATGCCACTTTTGTGCAGTTTGCGAATGTTCTACTACACGTAATATCGCACATTTACCAGTTTTGGAAAGAAGAAATTCAAATTTTCACTTTAGTGTTACGTTTTTTTCAGATTGGAGGGAAGAGAAATTTTCAAATACCGTCCGACCCATCATGCTTTTATGCTAAACTACCGCCATCGCTACCTGCGAAAAATATAAGACGGAACTACCTTCAACTGCGATGGACGACATCCGCACAACCATCAACGACAGCAGTAACAACATTCAAGCAACACTCAACATCAATCAAGTGACGCAGGGTTGTCTGCAGTTGGCAATTAATCGCATTGCGTTCCACGCGTTGCGCGCTCGGCTCAATCAGGCGTTGTAACAGCAACCTCATATTTCTGGAGTCCTTTTTACCGCCAATGATTTTAAACATCGGATGCATTCTCTGCACGCAGGTAATCGCATTCTTGAATGTGAACCATTCTTCAAGTGTGTTCAACTATTTGGGCATGTAATTCTATTTTTCAGGCGGAATTTTGTGGTCGTTTGTTTCTTTCATTTCCATATCCTATTGTATGAGATATGTTATACGTAACACACTGAGAAAAAACTATGGCTTATAAACCTATTAGAGGTAAATATGGAACACCACTAATAGTAGTACCTCTACATATAATAATAGCACATATACCTTAGTTATGGTCTCTGTACCTTAATTAGGTACAGAGACCTTAGTATGGTTCACAGACCGAGAATCATTAGTTTATTTACGACTATTATAGGTGTTCCATATTTACCACTAATAGGTTTATAAACCATAGCTTTTTCTCAGTGCACTTCGTGACAAAACACAATTGTGCAGTGCACATGTACTTGTGCAATTGTTATCATATCATAGTTTTTAGTTTTACGGTTTCCCTCTATCTTTACGTCTTACCTCCTAAAAGACGAATGTAATTCATTTTATCTGAGAATGATTTATCACACTTGCGTCAAGTTAAATTCCCACGAGTATATAGTTAGGTTAGCGAACTACTTATTAACAAACTTTTCAATAATTATAGGGTAATAAACCCATCTCAACTATTAAATATGATCATGTAACGTGCTCTTAGGACCGCGCAAGTGTTATGTGGTTGCGTTCCTGGTGCAGAAAAGCATGAACGCAAAAATATGAGATCAAAAACTGTACCCTAACGAAAAGTGGTGGTGAAGTCGGTCGAGGCCCGGCCTCCAAGAGGTGCAATCTTTTACTCTTTTTGAAAACTGGACAGGCTTGAGTTGTTGAAAAACGGTCCTGGGTGAAGTTGAAAAATCCGGAATATGGTTCCCCGTGGAAGCTATCTTTTTCTGACTGCGAGTTGGGCGAATGTAAAGACACGTATCCTAGACTTAGATCCTAGAAAAATAACAAGTATCTGAAATCATGGAGCTAATTGATGCGATTAAAACCTAGTATCAAGCTTGCCGAATCTCATCAGGTGATGACACATTGGACCGCATCTGAAGTAAGGCCTTGTCAACAAGGAGAGAAGTTCCACCAAAGACGTGGAACTCATTCCGTCTGGGCATAGTTTCTTGCCCCGTTATCTTGCGCAGTTGGAACATGTTCCCCAAACCTTGGTGGAATTTCTAGCATGTGGACAAGGACTAATAAAATAACGTTTTAGCAGACTGAAGAACCACATACTGGGATGAAAGGCTAGTGCGGTAGTTGAATTTCACTTAAATAAACTGAGAATTCTGTTCTCTCCTGTTAACTTTGATTCCATTCATTGACTGATGAACAACAAGGAACCCATGAAAATGAGTTAGTCAGGACCAGTGACGGACTAATTACATCCTGCATATAATTATTTTGGATGAAAGGGCTTTTATCAAAATTTTAGATATATTAAGAGAGTCTTCAGCTGGTGCGATATTACACTCTGTGTCGTTATCTTCAAAAATTAAACGCACGTCTTTGTATAAAGGCACATTTATTAAGAATCTGTCAAAAATAAAAAGATCGTTTGGATTAATAGCATGATTACGTAAAAGTAAATATAAAAACGCTAAAGGATGCGGTTTTTTAAAACAGTATTTTAAAAAAGAAGCAGGTTTCCATTCAAATCTAATCATTCTGCTTCTAAAGGCTTCATTTGTTGGAAAAGGATCTTTGTTAAAAGAATTATTATAGGAGTTCTCATTATAACAGCATCGTTTTTATATTTTACTTTTACATTTAAAGGATCACCTGCAAAAAGTTTTTTGCAATCTTCAAAAAAATCTGATTCGCAACTTGGCTCATTCCATATTATTAATCTCTTTTTAACACATTCCATCAGAGGAAAAACCCAGTTTTTATTTGAATTACCTGCATGGCCACAATTTAACATGAATTGAGGAACACAATCAAAGAAAAAGTTTTTCCCAGCATTAGGATCCGATTTAATCAATAAACAATTTTTCTTGGGATATCGGCAATCTAAAATATCTACAAGACATTTAAAAAGTATGGAAATTCATCACCAAATTGGTGCACTAATAATAACTCTAATATTTGAATTGATTCTTTTAAGGGAAAAAATTCATTTTTAGGATTATCACTATTAAAATATAATTTTGAAAGAGGCAACGATAAATATTTCAAACCTAATTCTGTTACAGATTTCATATTTATTTCGTGAATAACTTGAGTTAAAGCCCTTCGGCAAGAAAATTGGGATTCTGGGGTATACGAAAACGGCCCATATAACCATTCTTGACAGTCAAAAATTCTAGACATTGGAGAAACAACGTACGATTGAATATGTTTATATATTTTATATGCTTTACCTTTTTGCGTTTCTATTTTCTCCATTTTGTGGGGTCCAGTTCCTTGTAAACCGTGTTGGGCATCACTGAAATCTGATCGATTGCTTGCAGCACCCTCCTCTGTAACATTTGAACCATTGGAAGTTCCTCCCGTCCCCAGGCCATTGTCGCTCTGAAGTCGGCGTGGCGCCAGTAGTCCTCCTGTTTTACATTCTTCAAGTTGCACGTTTTGGTCACTGACACCGTAACTAGAAAGGATCCATCCATGGGTTCCGCAATGAATTGCGATACTTTCCCGTCTCGACGATAAGAAATATTTGGGATAATTTTTCCATCGCCGTCCGTGGAAATTCGCTTTTCTGTAAACCTGGCGAACACGTCGTCCTCCGAGACCGACGCGTCTGAAGAGTTTGGAAATTCCATATTTACATGTGCTGTTTCGCCAGTTGCAGCCGTGGATGGCATGTATGTGCTGCCCGTGCGTTGCGACGAGTTCAGGACACTTTGCGGCGGATTTGTATATTGCCGCAAGAATCTGTTCTTTAAGTTGCTCGGAAGGCTTGTCAAAACTTAAACCTTTAGGCCATGAGGTTTTGGAGGGATTCTAGGATAGTACATGAGAGAGGTACTCACCGACAAAATGTTGGGCCAACTCTAGAGGTTGTTTCAGCCCCCACTCGGTAAATAGCTGCTTATAGAACTCTAAATCCATGTGTAAAACTAAAACTTGTTAAATACCACACAAAGCACGAACACTCACAGTCGAAGGACCTTGTTGATCAGCTGACTAACCTCACTTTTCATTTGACTTGAAACGTTGGATGTTGCCGTCAGAACTCCGAAGAAGTGCCCGCGATGTACCTCCCTCCTTTAAAAATTTAATATCTACCGGGAAAATTCAAATCTTCGGACGCGCGGTGAATACTTGCGATAATACTTCAGTGAATAACCGGCACAATTAAGCGATCACACCGATGCCATCTCACAACTCATTTCAACGGCTATTTGAAATACCATTAATAATGGTTTCTAAAATCACAGTAAAGGCTCATGTGCTCTTAATCTCGCAATCACTATTATCGGTTGAGGCTAACCGCTAAAAATGGTCTCTAAACCATCTACTGTGATACGCAAAACCAATAAGTGGTCGTGAGTACCGTGAATTTCGACTACCATAAATTCGTGGTAAATTGTGTCATAGTTTTTTCTCAGTGTAGGTTGACGAAACATTTGCCTGCGCCGACATGTTGTGTGCCTGCTAGCTGGTCTGGATGGTGTCGTGGTGAAACACGAGTACGAAAAAATGTCTGAACCTAAGCTCTTAGCAGTGAGGATTTTTTTTTTAGATGTACAGATAATAAAAAAAACTACTCATAAGTAAGAAGAATTCAGAAAATTTGTAGATAAAATATTTTAGAAAAACGCCTTCAATCTAAGGAAATACGGTAATATTAAGACATGTAAATATTTTGGTCACTCTAAAAAATAAAGGCGCACTATTGTCTCAACATTCGAAAAGCTTTCAATCCCTAGGGATACTTCAAAACTTGCATCAAGGCAACACCAGTCTCTTCGGAGGCGTGGGTTCGAATCCCACCGCTGCCACCAGTGTGATGCGGGACCTAGAGTAGCGTTGTGAGGTCCGGCACCTCTAGAATGAAGTCAACACTTGATCTTGGAGCTTGGACACAGTGCGAGGGTTCGATCGTCGAAGGGGTCGAGCTCGGATCTGCGCTGAGCATGTCCCCTGTGCTGTGTCATCATTCCTACCTTAAATATCCATCGATTGAGCTTGCTGCTGCCAGCTGCAGCTAGGACATGAGCCGTGCATGGTACGGCGGTGAGGCTTTGCTTCTCAACCGCTACCATTTCATCCTCATTTAGAAGTACAAAATCTAAATCTAAGACTTCCGGCATTCGCATGTCGACCTCCAATGCAGCCTCGTCTATTTCTTGCGCCTCCTGCATCTCTTGCAGGAGGTGGCTAACTTTCATCATGTTCGACCCATTGTCCGTTGGGCTGGTGTACACTTTCTTGATGTTGATGTCATATTCTTCCAAAACTTCGATTATGACATCCCGCAAATTTTCCCCTGTGTGCCAGCCAGTTAACTCCGGCACACTCGGGATTTGTATTTCAGAGTTTTTACCTCCGCTTTCACTAGAAAATTCTCGACCGCCAGCTGAAGGACATGAGCCGCGCATGGTACGGCGGTGAGGCTTTGCTTCTCAACTGCTACCATTTCATCCTCATTTAGAAGTACAAAATCCAAATCTAAGACTTCCGGCATTCGCATGTCGACCTCCAATGCAGCATCGTCTATTTCTTGCGCCTCCTGCATCTCCTTCAGGAGGTCGCTAACTTTCATCATGTTCGACCCATTGTCCGTTGTGCTGGTGTACACTTTCTTGATGTTGATGTCGTATTCTTCCGAAACTTCGATTATGACATCCCGCAAATTTTCCCGTGTGTGCCTGCCAGTTAACTCCGGCACACCCAGAGTCCTTATGCACACTTGCCCTTTATCAATATACTGCACGTTCACCCCGAGGAAACACCTGTTTAGCCTGCTTACTCCATCCACCTTCAACGATAACACTTTCACTATGTTGTTGCATATTGCACGGTTGTAAAATTTTATCGGCACTATACACAAATTACTACATAAACTTAAAACTTTTTTGGAAAAACCGATTGATATCACTTACTTATTTTCTATGCACGATGGCCATTTCACAACTTCATCACGATAACACTTTCATCATGTTTGACCCATTGTCCGTTGTGCTGGTGTACACTTTCTTCATGTTGATGTCATATTCTTCCGAAACTTCGATTATGACATCCCGCAAATTTTCCCCTGTGTGCCTGCCAGTTAACTCCGGCACACCCAGCGTCCTTATGCACACTTGTCCGTTTTCGATGTACTGTACGTTCACCCCGAGGAAACATCTGTTCAGCCTGCTTACTCCATCCACCTTCAAAGATAGTACTCTTCCATTTAGCTCCTTCTTGAGTTTGGCTTTCAGCTTTTGAGCCTTCGACCTTATGAACTCGACCCATTGTCCGTTGTGCTGGTGTACACTTTCTTGATGTTGATGTCATAGTCTTCCAAAACTTCGATCATGACATCCCGCAAATTTTCCTCTGTGTGCCTGCCAGTTAACTCCGGCACACCCAGCGTCCTTATGCACACTTGTCCGTTTTCGATGTACTGTACGTTCACCCCGAGGAAACATCTGTTAAGCCTGCTTACTCCGTCTACCTTCAAAGATAGCACTCTTCCATTTAGCTCCTTCTTAAGTTTGGCTTTCAGCTTTTGAGCCTTCGACCTTATGAACTCGACCCATTGTCCGTTGTGCTGGTGTACACTTTCTTGATGTTGATGTCATAGTCTTCCGAAACTTCGATTATGGCACCCCGCAAATTTTCCCCTGTGTGCCTGACAGTTAACTCCGGCACACCCAGCGTCCTTATGCACACTTGTCCGTTTTCGATGTACTGTACGTTCACCCCGAGGAAACATCTGTTCAGCCTGCTCATTCCATCCACCTTCAAAGATAGCACTCTTCCATTTAGCTCCTTCTTGAGTTTGGCTTTCAGCTTTTGAGCCTTCGGCCTTATGAATTCTCTCACGGTGTCCGCTGAAATCGCAAATTTCTTAGCCGCCGGAGGTGCTTCCAGAATTGGGTCGGCGACTAGACGAAAACCCACATCCTCGACGATTGTGAACGGTCTCGCGTCGATGGTTACCGATGTGGCACAGGCATCCTTTAGAAGTCCGCCGCTCATCTATAAATACAGATGCCCGAAGGGATTCGGACAGGGCTGCTTCCTCCTTGTTGCCCGCTCCTTCCTCTCAGCTTCCACATTCGACCACAATTTCCTGTGATCTGCTTCAGATGCCGCATCAAATTTGCACTTCTATCACCCTGAAACAAAAGTTATAGGGAAAATAAGCTCATACCACTAATTTTCAAATACAATACTCCTTAGAAAACCATCAGTAGTTCCTAAAACGGGATCCGCGTGACGTGTTATGCGGGCCGTGGGAAAATGGGTCGGGAACACTAAAGTAAGTGGAACGCGTGGTTCAAGTGTGGAAGAACACTTCGAAAAACCTCGGCTCGGGCACCTGGGGGGATGATCAAGTCGCGATATCACAGATCTCAAAGATGAGGAGTCGTCTCCCGTCAATCAGTTGCATCGGGCTTTAACGCTAGGTGGTCCAGCATGAGGCTGGTGGACGTCCAGTGCATATTTAGACCGGTGCTAATGAGCGATATGGATAATGGGTGATGCTGGTTCACATGGACATTATCACTTTGTCTTATTATTCAACACATTTTTTAATAAACTCACCAAAAACTAAAATTCTGTAAATCAAAGGATATACATACCATAGATCATATTCTCGGATGACCCTGGTTTGAAAACCAGGATCAGCAAAATCCTCGTGGATTGCGAATATCGCCTCGAATAAAGGATTAAAGGATAACCATACCGTGTTACGAGTAAACAAACTAGCCTAAGCTCACCGGGACAAGAGAAATTAAATTTAAAAACCTCCTGGTCACAACGAATAAATTGGGAGCGCCCAACATATAAAAAATGCTCGACTCTAGGAAATTCACTTGGCGAGACAAAGACTAACACATATTCCTCACGGGGAACGGATGAGTAGAATTCAAAGAAGCGAGACACCATGCCCTTATAGAAATCCATAGTGAGATTGAAAATTTACTAGGACAGACAAACGCGACGAACGAACGAAGGAGCACAACTGACGAACAGAAAAGCCCACCTTCAGCAAAGAAACATCACCTACTTTCACAGAACTACTTTCACTAGGAACTTTCTCCAAAAGTCGCGGATTCTCCCAACCCTCTATGACTAATTACAGCAATCAACAGCGGGAGGCACAACTACTGGTAATGTCAGATGCCTAGGATATGAGTCCAAATCCCAAAAATCGAAAAAATAAAGAGTCCTTTTTCTCCAGAAGAACCAACCCCTTAGAAAATATCCCTATTTCCCATCCTTGCCCCTGCATTATCCTAATTTTTCGAGAAAACAGAATTAAGAGAAAAATTCATCTAGAAACAAACGGAAACACTCAAATTCAACATTAAAGATAATAAGAGAGCCTTACAAGAAAGCTAGAAAGGTAACAACGATCCTCCAAGAGAAATTTATAAAACGCCTTAATCTTCAAACAAAAACACAGGATCATAACATATTGCATACCCCCCACAGTTGAAGGAGATCAAAGGAACGAGGTACCTGCCAAAGGTGAGCGCACGTGAGATATCGTGCCAAAGGAAACGGATCTGGAGGAAGGAATAAATTAAATTTTAGGGTTTTCAAAATTGAATTATAACTTTTCCAAAAGCAAAGATAAATATATTACTCCTAATTCAGTTACTGACATTTTATTAAAATCGTGAATGTATTTATTAAGAAAATGCTGGCATGAAAATTGTGTTTCCGGAGTATGTTGAAAGGGACCATAATTATAACCATTCAGAACAATCGGACACTCTGGATGGAGGTGTCACTACGTGAGAACGAGTGAATTAGCTATTGTGTCCTTTACCTTTTTTTACTGGAATTACATATCCTCCTAAATTGCAGAGATAGCTCGGTGTGACGCCAGCCATTGGTCCTCGACAAATTTTTTGATGTGGGCGTACAGGCCATTTATTGTCAACTGGTAGGTCCTAGATTACCGCGAGAGTCCATCGATCACCCGTCAGGAGGAATGTTTTTTCCAGGAGAAAGACTATTCCCGAGTCGAGATCATTTTTGAATTTTCGGCGTTAGAACAGGTTATAGTCAGCAGGGCTATGCTGAGTCTGCAACAGAATTCTAAATGCCTTTCCAAAAACCAGAAATTATTTGACATACCGCAACGTTGCATACTCGCGCCACCACTTAAAATAGTCGATTACAGCTTCAGAAGCGCGGAGCGTCGCCAAAAGCGACGTAGTGTATGCTAATTCCGAAAAATAACTTAAAATGCAAATCCGAATCTATCGCGGAGGAATTATGAATAAATAAAACTGTATCGAATAAACAGTTCCGAACTTGTAATGACGGGAAAAGGCTCTCTCTACAGCCCCCTTCTAAATTCGTGTTATACTTTCCCGGAGTTGGCTCTCTCGCCAGTGATCAACTAATTTCTGTGAGAAAGGAGTTCATGTCATTTCAACTAAAGGATAATTCCTCTGGTGCAGTGAACGCTAACATTTCATAACTAGGCAGCAATCCTCAATTTGTAACTAACGATCATTAATCCCCTGGAGACTTTGATTTTCCCAACGAAGCACCGTAAGAACGGAGGCTGCTAACCAGGGGGGGCCAGTCATGTTTACATACATCAACGCCGCTCTAATAGCGCTCTTTGGTGCTCTGCGACACCCAGCCGCCATACTACGCTATCTTCCCAAAGCCCTTCTGTTATGGGCTAGTCATGTTTCAGGCTTTAATTTCGTCTTATAGACGGAAACAAGAAGTAAAGTTTAACCCTCTATGGCATGAATTAATTTTGAATCTTGCATTCTAAAGAGCTCAAATCTATTATGCAGCTTTCGTAAAAACACAGAGTTCCAAACTTAGTTCCTGAAATTCCAAATCTTAGGTAAGCAGTTCAAAAAAGAAGACACTCATGACTATTTGCAATACCATGCCAAGAGGAAGATTTAATTTTAGAAAAACCCAAAGAGTGCGTTGTTACTAATAAGTAACATTATGCCATAGAGGGTTAAGTACCAATTTGGACCTTTCCAATTAATGTTGGTGGTACCTCCATAAAGTAGGTTACTAACCTAAATGTTGCGGCACTATTAAAACTAATTAGAAATTTCCGTATCATCCAGCAAATTGGGGTTGCGCCACAATTTTAAGGCATCACCATTAACACCTCTTCTCCTTGATAGGTATACAGCAAGGCATAACCATACGATTGGTTAACTTTTTTCCCTTCACACACTTTCTCACTCTTTTTACTGTGCATTGTTTGGGGCCTTTTTTATTCATTGATGAGATCGTCTGTCGTGGAGGACAAGCTCCTCGGACCGTATGCTCCTAAGTTAAAATCGTTCATATGTATGTATAAACCGCTTTTACGGCGCGCTAGGGCGCTCTGCGACGCCTACCCGCCACAGAAATCTGTCGTGGTAGAGATCCTCCGGAAGCCGGCATCTCTCCATCTCTTCACGGATGCCCTCTACCCACCGTTTGGCTGGACGCCCTCTCCGTCGCCTACCCGGGGGGACCCACTCCAACACCTTCCTCGGCAACCTGGTATCAGCCATTCTCTGCACGTGCCCATACCATACCAATTGCATGGTCATGATATCGTGCACAATCGTTCCCTCAACTAAAATCGTCCCCTAAAATCGTTTGTGTTTTGTATTTTATTTCCTCATGAAAGATCACTCGAGGGCGACATTGTTTGTTTGGGAATTTATCGGAGTTGGGAAGAACTGACGAAGCATCTGACCCGACGAGCATGATTGTGGAGCACTCTGTATCGGTGCTGAGCAGGGGCGGGTCGAGTAAACTACTTAGCTCTCGGAGAGTGGAAGATGGGGCGAGAGTTGAACGCTGCCGTAAAGGGCTAGTTTATGAATGTTTAATGCGGGAGGGGCGACGGCGAGGGAGGGCGGAGGCGCTGGCTGCTCAACTAAGGGCGACGACGAAGCACCAGTTATGACACATTTAAAACACTTCAAAAACACAAAGTGTTTCGCACTTCGCTCCTTTCCAATAACACTCTGCTCCGCCGCCTCCTACCTCCTTCCGCGCTCTACCGTGACCCCTCCCCCAGCCTCGACGCGGAAAGTTTCCTTATTTTAAACTTTTTCAACTCTCCAGGATTACTTGAATTGCTTTGCTCTACGGGGAAGAACACATCGCGACCATCTTATTAGCTCCCGATTAAAATTGAAGTCTCTATTGTCGCTCTAGATCGCTGATTGGTCCAATCGAAAGCGATAGCACTCAGAGTATTTTTATTAATTATTTATTCTACTTGACTCTCAAAACCTTTTTAACCTCCC